TATCTATCTATCTATCTATCTATCTATCTATCTATCTATCTATCTATATATCTATATATCTATCTATCTATCTATCTATCTATCTATCATCTTACCCCACTTCTTCCTGTCTGAGTTGCGGGGGTCACTGGTGCCCATATCCAGCAGTCCCTGTGTGACAGGCGGGGGACACCTGGACAGGTCTCCAGTCCATCACAGGGACACATAAAGTCAAATGAGACAAACAACCATTCACTCCTTCACTCACACCTAGAGACAATTTAGAGTTACCAATCAGCCTAACATTTCTTCACGACAGCATGTCAGGTTCATTTTGTTGTATTGAAATAGCCCTTTATTTTATGTTATTGGTTTTGTAGTTATTTTATTTATGTTAAGTTTTGAGATTTTGAGCGCTTTCAAAACCTGCAGGGCTGCATCTCAATTTAGATCAATTCAGAGACCTGTGTTTCTCTCCATCACTTTAATATTAATTGTCTTTTTCTACTTGTTTTTTCAGAGAGATGGCTGTCAAATGCTTCATGTGTGTGCTGTTCTGTGCAGCCGCCCTCACGTTTTCTGGAGTTTTGGGGAGGAATGAGAAGACCCAGGTACCCACGTGGACCCGTCAGAGCCTGCCAACGCTGACAGTTACTCAAACAGCCTTTCTAAAGTCAACTTTGTTTGGAGGGCAGGAGGAGAATGAAGTGGACAGAGAAACAAAGAGGCTCTGTGGAATAGAGTGTCAGAGAGCTCTACCATCGATTGACTGGACCGCGCAAGAAAAGATTCTGGGATATGAGACGATGTATATAAACGGCACGCGCACACATACAGATATCAGTTTGCAGAGGAAGAACAAGACCTCAGAAGGAACTCCAGCAAGCTCACCAGTTCATATACGCAGAAAACGGCAAGTTTATGGAGCAGATGGACGATTTGTGATTTCAGATTCAAACTTCATCACCAACTACCCGTTTGCTACTGCCGTCCGCCTTTCCACTGGTTGTTCAGGAGTCCTAGTGTCTCCAAAACATGTGCTGACAGCAGCACATTGTATCCATGACGGCAGGGACTACTTGGAGAGCACTAGAAGGCTTAAAGTTGGGTTGCTGCAGATAAAAGCTAAAAGAAGGAGGGTGGGAAGGGAGAGAAGAGGGAGACAAAGGGGTGGCAAGAAACAAGAGGGTAAGAGAGATAAAAGGAGAGGAGAGGAAGAAGATGAGGGGATAAATAGTGGAGGAGGAGTGAGAAAGAGAAGGGAGCATGAAAAGAGAAGACACAGACTGAGAACAGTGGATGAGGAAGGGGAGGCTAATGATGGAAAGAAGTTTGAGAGAGGAAGAGCAGGGATGCAGACTGGTCTCAGTCGTGCACGCCGCAGTGATAAACTGGGAAAGCAACCTGTCTTTCGCTGGGCTCAAGTCAAACAAACCCAAATCCCTCAAGGGTGGATCCTCACCAGCAGCTCCACAGACTCAGTTTCTCTTGACTACGATTACGCCCTCCTGGAGCTGAAACGACCAGTCAAGCAAAAGTACATGGAGCTCGGGGTGGCACCCACTTCGCCACCGACACGAATCCACTTCTCGGGCTACGACGTCGACAAAAGCCTGTCTGAAGGCCAAGCAGACGAGAAGGTGGTTTATCGTTTTTGCTCCGTGATTAAGGAGTCGGATGATTTGATGTATCAGCATTGTGACGCGCAGCGTGGAGCAACGGGAGCAGGTGTTTACATCCGCCTGAGACAGGATCAGGGCGAGAGAGGGAAGTGGAAGAGGAGGGTGATCGGAGTGTTCTCAGGCCATCAGTGGGTGGAGGAGAAGGGGGGTGAGCAGAGGGATTTTAATGTTGCAGTAAGGATCACACCTTCAAAGTACGCCCAGATTTGCCACTGGATTCACGGAGATCCAAGTTTTTGTAAGGAGGTTTAACCTTAGAGTTATCTGAGACTAATATCTGTTGTCTCCTTCTGACAAGATCAGAGATGGAAGGTTTGAACCTGATATCACCAACATCTGTGTAAAATAGAAATTAAAAGTTGTGCAGAGTCTAAAAATAATTAAGGGTAATTTTTTTTTTTAGGTCAGAAAGTGGTCAGGACATTTGTAAATAAAGAAATAAACGTCCTTTCTTCATCTGTCCATAAACACTGAAATAATCAATATGTCTCCAAAGTTCACCTTGTCCAGACAAACTATTGTACTTTGTATAGCATGAACTAAAAAAATCATTTCAGAAATGTTTTGTTTTTATCATTGTTTTATTTGTTTTTATGCTGTTATAGTTTTTACTGGAGTCCCTGTACAATAAAGTATATAACATAATTACATATGAGCTTGTCCATGTTTTATAAACTTTTGAATAGTGTTACAGTAAATATCCAATAAATTATTTTCTCCAAGTGATTTATATAAAGAAATGACTTTTACAACCACATCATTTCACTGCAAACTGTTTAGTTTTTCATTTATCATTTCATCATCGTTTTTCCAGAAGTCATTTTTGAGGGGGAATGGAAATTGTGTGTATGTTTAAAAGGATAAGTTGCAAAGACTATAGAGGCATAAATTACACAAAAACAGTTGAGACTCCATTATAATTACACTTCTCTGTCCTTCACAATAACTCATCATGTGTTACTTGAGACTGAGAAGAAGACTGAAGTTCACTGAGTTCAGCCCAGATTGACCTCTGTTGAAATCTTTAAATGGTTATCACTTTTTACCAGCAGGGGGCACTAAAACATATTCTGGGCAACAATTTTACAGAGGAGTGTGAACAAAGGAAGTGATGACATTTACAAAACCATTTTGTCATATTACAACCACAATATAGAAAGTATTGTACTGGAACTTTATATGATAAATCAACATAAAATCACCCCTCAATTGGTTCAGATCCTACCTCTCTGACAGATCCTTTTGTGTCTCCATCAAGGATTTTAGTTCTGCAGCGACAGAGCTTAAATGGGGGGTTCCGCAGGGGTCCATCCTGGGTCCCCTCCTATTCCCTTTGTACCTGCTGCCACTTGGTGCTATTTTCCGGAAACTCAACATACCCTTTCACTTCTGCGCCGATGACTGTCAAATCTACTTCCCCCTAAGACACAATGGTACATGCTCTATTCAACCTCTGCTCGACTGCCTGGCTGACATCAGGGACTGGATGGCTTTAGACTTCTTAAGTTTCAATGAAAAGAAATCTGAAGTCATGTTGTTTCCTCCCAACGACACGATCACAAACCACTGCATCGACCTCTTCGCTCTAACCCTGTCAGAAAAACAAAGAGTCACTAATCTGGGCGTGATAATGGACCCTTCCCTGAAACTTAACAATCATGTAAACATGATTGTTAAATCATGTTTCTTCCAACTGAGGTGGCTGGCTAAACTGAAGCCCATATTGTCCAAAAATAACTTGGAGACAGTAACACATGCATTCATTACATCTAGGCTTGATTACTGCAATTCACTCCTGTTTGGCATTTGTCAGACCTCCATAGCACGACTACAACTGATCCAGAATGCAGCAGCCCGATTTTTAACCAGTACAGGCAAAAGAGAGCACATTACACCAGTTTTGGCCTCACTGCACTGGTTACCGGTTCACTTTCGAATCCAGTTCAAAATACTTCTGTATGTCTACAAATCGCTGAACAGTGTCACACCCCCCCCCCCATTTCTCTGATCTGCTACAACCGTATGTCCCACCACATTCCCTGAGGTCAGCGGACCAGTTGCTCCTCACAGTTCCAGGAACTCGTCTTAAGCGCAGAGGTGACAGGGCCTTCTCTGTAGCAGGACCAAGACTTTGGAAAGAGTTACCTCTGCTTGTCAGACTGGCCCCCTCCCTCTCGGTTTTCAAATCCCGTTTAAAAACTCACTACTATTCAGAAGCTTTCAACACCAGATGATCTGTGTTTTGAACCTGTACGCTCCACACTGGTTTGTTGTCATATTTATTATCTGCATCGTTTTTATGTCTATATTCTGATTTACCTCATTTTGTATTTTGCTTCGTGTGTTACCTGTTGTTCTGTCTGTACAGCACTTTGGTTGGCCTTGTAGCTGTTTTAAGTGCTCTATAAATAAAATGGTATGGTAATTGTAAAGCGGAAAGGTTATGAAACAGTACTCTTTTTTTTAAGGATCTGAAAAGTGTGCCATGCATCTTAATTAAGCTTCTTTTACTCCTACCTATAATCCAATGCAAATAATTTCCTTCAGAAGTCACCTAATTAAATAGAAAATTATTAAAATCAGAGAAAAAAAAATCCTTAAACTTTAGTCCACACAAAACAATATGTCAGTTTAGCCTTTTGCTCCATTTATTTGTTTTTTTCATGTCAAATAAGTATTTTTTTAGAAGTTTGGTGGAGGATAGTACCAAACAGCTCAAGTATGACAAAATATTTTCTTAATTTTACAGTTTACATTATAACAAAACAAAAAATAACTGCTGTGACAACTAAGTTAATATACTAGTACAGATGAATTTCTGGAGGAACTAATGTTTAAAGTAAAACTTTTCCATTACCTAAAATAGTGGCTTTTAAAAACCAGTAACAATGAGAATACATATTAGGAAACAGTCACTTTTAAAAGTACACAACAAAGAGAAACATCCAGCAGGTTTCACAGTAAGTGTGTATGACTTCAGAGGTAGAAGATAAAAATATAAAACCGAGCTGAGACCGGAGTGTCTTTCACAATGACACCTCTTGTATCACTTCACACCTACACTGAGTGCTACATTTAGTCATGAAATGCGACTAAATTCACGTCTACTTGTCTTTTGTTTTTACGTAACTAAAATATACTTATATAAAATTAATGTATATTTGGCAAAACCTTTATTTCGTTTCAGCTGTATGATCAGGAATTATTTTGGCTTTTATACACATAAATTTAGTCAAAGTTTTACTATTTGATAAATAGTTTACTTTGGAATTTGGTTGAGAGATGTTCTTTAATGTGACCAGATCAATCATCTGTTATCACTGCAAGCCGCAAAGTTGCATTCATGTCACTAGGTTTTTGTTCCTTAGTCAGTTTGAGGACACGAGTTCACTCGTCTTTCTGAGGTTTTGCCGGCTGATCACACCTGGATACACCACGAGGAGAGGGCTGGCCAGGCATTGTCCAAGATAGTCAAAAGTCACAGTGACTGCTTCAGGGGTCGGTGTCTCAGATGATGAGAAGGTGTGCGCACAATGGGCAGTCTTCAACCAGCTTACACTTTAAGTCAAAAATGTGTCTCAGAGTGAGCAAAATATTTGTCTTCTGTAGTTACTTGAAATTTACTTTGGTTCTAACAAAAACTGTAACTGAGCAAACCTGTTCTTTTGCTCAGGAATAAACGAAGAGGGACATCAGAGGATGGGGGAACAGACGAACGGCCAAGTGTCACACAACGAAACTTTGTGTGAACTCTCAGCTTTCTGAAGTCCAGAGTTCATGCTCATTAATCCAGGTATAAATCCAACAGTGTTCAGTCAGTTCATCTGGACAGTTTCTTTTGTTGCTGAGACAATACACAATGTAAAGGCTGAATGTTTGCTGGCATTAAAGACAAAACACAACAGACCAAATTGAAAGAAGGTGAAATGAGTTTATGTATTTACTGACAATCATTGGATGAAGAGAACAAAAAGAAAAATACATTTTCAATCAATTATGCTTTAGATCTACTTCATGAAATTTAAATCAAAATTTCAATATTTACAATTCATTGAAGAACATTTTTATTGTTTCAAACTATATGCACATAATTATAAATATCAGTTTTGTTTATACATTTTTGTCAGTCTTAACAATTATCAGTAAACCACATCTGAGGCTTAAGTTGTAATAATATACATCTTAATTAAGTCAAAATGATGCCTAACAATTGATTAATAAACGCAGACGCTTCTAAAGCTGATTTCAACACCTGATAATGATATCATTGATTTATTAGTAGAAAAAATACTATTCGTCCTATAAACAAAAGGTCACTTATCAGAAATTCCCACTTTAACTCTTGTCTTTATGACAGTTCTATAGTTGTAATCATGTCTGACGCTCTTTGGTTCTGCTGCACTGGTTCCTGCTTTTGACAAGTAGGACAATATTTGCAAGAAGTAAAAGCATACAGGAGCGGATCCAGGAATTTAGAAGCTGCTGTTGCTGCTGAGACAATGTTCCACGTGTCTATATAAAACTTCTTGAGTCTTTCATTTTTGAGACAAATAGCTGTGATGCCCACCACATTTGTGATAATATATGGAACTTGAAGAACAACAAAACTTACAATGATGCTGGTAACCAGTCGCTTTGTCTGAGGATTGTTGAAAAATGTTGCCTGGTTAACTTTCCTACGGACGTGAATGTATGAAAACATCACAATAAAAAAGGAAGCCAAGCAGAGAATGTTTTCTATTATCAGCAAGGCCATCCACTGGGCATCAGAAGAAAAATGAGGTGCACAATCTGTCCACTGCTGGTTTTGTACCAGCTGCCAAAACACCAAGGAAGGAACAGACAGGATAAAAGCCACCAGCCAGAGCAGAACAAACAGAAGTCCTTTCGGTACCTGTTGGCACCTCTGCTGGTGAACCACCAAGAGGTAACGCTGGACGCCCAACCCAATCACAGTCAGATGGCTGCCATGAACGCTGCACCACAGAACCAAGTTTAAAAGCGTACAGGACACCAAGCTGAATCTCCAGCCGTAGAGCAAACTATCAATCACTATTGGAAGAGTGAACAGAAAGAGCAGGTCAGAGATGGCCAGATTCAGAATCAAACTCTGACTCAGACTGGACAGGTGATCCCAGTTAGGCTTCAGAATGATGACAGCAATGTTTCCAATAACTCCCAGAACAAAACAGATGGACAATATCACCGCAGGAACCAGACGGCTGGAGTCCAAGGATGAATGAGGTGGAAGTCCTGGAGAACAGAAGTTAGAAGTTGCCACAGTGGAATAAGACTGATCCATGCTGCGTCTCTTGGTAAGGCTGTGCTCTGAGCTACTGGTGGTGTGCAGTCAGGAACAGAAGTGAAATGTGTACTGGGGTCATGACAGGTTTTATACTGAGAACATGCATATCACTGTGACATCATCTGCTGCATCATTTTGAATGTGACAGATGCATGTTTTGAGGATTTGTTCATGATGTAATGTTTATAAATACAGTATAATAAATAAAAAACACCAAGTTAACCAGAGTACTTTATAATAAATTTGTTATGAAGTACAATATGAAAAATTTATATCTGCACAGTGATATATATAATATTAGTTCTAATTTTTTTTTACATAAAAAAGTCCATCCATCCATCCATCCATCCATCCATTCATTATCTTTACCCACTTTTTCCTTTCTGGATCGCGGGGGTCACTGGAGCCCACATCCCACAGTCACTGTGCAAGAGACGGGGGACACCCTGGACATGTCTCCAGTCCGTCATAAGGACACATAGAGACAAACTAGACAAACAACCATTCACTCTCTCACTCACACCTAGAGACAATTTAGAGTTACCAATCAGCCTAACATGCATGTTTTTGGTCTGTGGGAGGAAACCAGAGTACACAGAGATAACCTACATACAAAAAGTTAGAAAAAAAAAAGTTTTTTCTTCTTTTTGGCTGCTCTCTTTGTCGCCACAGCAAACTAACTCACACGAAGACTTCGCAAGTACTTATTTTTTTTTCACCAGATGCCCTTCCTGATGCAACCACAGACCAATGAGCTACCACAGCCCTCTGTGTGGAGCAGAGAGCTGCTGTCTAGGGTGTCCGGAGGAGAAGATGGTGGGGGTTAAGGCCTTGCTCAATGGCCCAGAGTGGGGCAAATGAGGGTGGAGGCAGGTGTGGGTGCTTCACTTATCCCACCTATGTTTTGATGTCGTCGGTACCGGGAGTTGAACCAGAGATCTTTCAATCACAGGTCCACCATCTCTAACCTCTGCGCCACCACTCCTCACAAAAAAAGCATTTTAATAAAAACAAAAAATACAGTATTCATTCCTAGTCAATTCCACCCAAACCTCCCACCTCCCACCCCCCACCCCTAAAAATAAAAAATAAAATAAAAATGTAGAGAAGCGGTTTACAGGTCTCTTTTTTTTTTGTTCCCAGTCATGGAATGAAAAGGGGGATATGGAAATGCTCTATGTTGTGAGCATGATAACTTAAAAGAAAAGTGAGGTACCAACTTCTGTTTTGGTGTTTGGCTACGTCTAGGCATAGGAAAGTTTCCTTCCTAGGATCTGTTGAAGTCACTTTTCCAGTTTGGGTGTCACAGCACCGAGTGCTCCAATGACCACTGGGACTACTGGCACCTTGATTCTCCACAGCTTCTATTTTCTCTTTCAGCTCTTCGTGTATCTCCAGCTTCTCGTGCTCCTTCTTCCTGATGTCACAGTCACTTGGATTGCAACATCTACCACCACTGCCTTCTTTAGCTTGTCGACCACCATAACTTTTTATATTGTTTTAGGTATAGGTTTAGGTATAGGTTTAGGTATAGGAAGAGCACATTAAACAGAAACTAACTATGTGTCTAGATCAGACCACACTTCAGCAAGTGTTGGACTGTACAGATCAGGCACGCTTAGCACAGCATGTCAAGTCCAAGACTTGACAACAAAATAAGTTTAACTTACTAATAACTCATCAACACCATCACTATTCCAATAACAACACATTCAGTGTAGGACAACACTCCAGTAGTCAATTACATGCCAGGGAGACAGAAAAGTGGGTGAAGAATTTATCTGACAGACAGCTCACCCAGCCGGAGACAGAGATTCTTGCCAGGGGACTGAACTTTGCGGTTGCACCAAGGACAATTCCTCTGGTGGAGATGATCACAGCCACAGAATCAGCCATCCACAACAACAAAATGAAAGAGGGTGAAGCAGAACAGCTCAGAATCAAAGTTTCATCCTGCCTCAGCAATGCCAAACCACCACCTTCCAACATCAGTAGAGAGGAGAGGGA